CGGAGAGTGAGTTTGATGATATCGATATCGATGTAATGTTATGTAGACATAGTTCTATCTCCTTGATAACGTGTTCTCAGATAACGTGCACTCTCGTTAACAGTATGGACGACAGATGCTGGTTTATACGAGCATCGACACATTTGATGATATTCTCCATGCCTTGAAAAGTAGCTTGCTGCATTACAACTGCGACGGAGTAAGTTTTCCTTTTTTTTCGACGGTGGTTGTTCCTTCGCTTTCCAGTCAGCTTGCGTACTTCCAGTACTGCTTTCTTTAGGAAAATTTTCATTTTCCTTATACGTCACTAATATAGCTTTTGCTCCATAGGCAGAGGTGAAGTTGATAAATATGTTTGCAAATGTGATAGGATTTACTTTGCTTTTGTTGCTTCCGTTAAAGTACGCGCTCATGTCCCGAATACTCTCTTGAAATTGCTGCCACGTGTCCGGATCAAAGCTTCCTTCTGCAGAATTACCATTCAATTTGACAACAGGCTCGAAGATACTCTCTTTAGATAATTGTAATCCCACGTGTAATTCCTTCGTATAACAGGTATTGAGACGGTATGCCAGACGGTATGCAGAAAATAATAAACTTTGTTGCACCGAATTCTTGAATATCTTGCGAATATTTTCTAGTTTAGCGGGATTCGCAACTTCTTGTTGTCCGGCCATATTACTTGACGAGAGAATTTTGAATAAATGTTCACTTTTAACAAACTTAGAGGGATTTTGGAAGTGGACGCTTCGAATGTCGATACTCGAGTAAAGCAATGTACCAGTATGTATAGCAATCTTTATTTATACAGCATCTCTCCTTCCTTTCGAAATAAAAAAGTACATTTTATAAATAACATACAGTCAAATCGAAGATTTTAGAAGAAACTCATCTCTTCGCTTTGTCTCTGCTCTTTTTCAAGGAAAAACTTTTCTCGAATAATAGAATTATTAGATTCGATCATGTTCGAACACGCGTGTGTCTTGGATGTTAGATGAGAACAATTTTAAATAAATAAATTATTGAACATTCGAGTAAGCTATAATTTGACGCTGCTCTTTTTTAAGGAAAGAATTTTCTCGAATAAAGGGAATATTACAGGTTCGATCACGTACGAACATGCTTAGGTATTAGATGAGAAAATTAAAAAAAATCATCGAAAAAATCATACAAAAATTATTTCAAAAAGAAGACATTATCGAAATATATAATAGAATTACAAGTAAGAAATATTTTATAAATGTTAAATTTGAAGAAGCGAGAACTTTCCTCAAATTTAAATAACTATTCATATGGACGTGACATGTCTGACGCCATTTATGCATTAATAAACAAAAAAGATGAATTCGGAAAAAGGATCAAATCTACATAGGTACAAGGAATACAAATTTTCAAGAAAAAATGATTTATTACTTGAGCTATGAGATAACATTCTTACCTTTCTTTTCTCCTTGAAACTATAGAATAATTCTATAATTTTTTATAAATCTCTTTTTTCATACGGAAAAGGTAGGATTTTCCCTATAAATAGTGCATTTTGCGCTATCTAAAACTGTTTTCGAGTTGAACTCTTTCGTGCTTCACTTCGGTTTCATCATGCGAGTTTTAAAAGTTTGTGTTCGGGTTATTTTGTTTGTGCGAATAAAGGTGCGAAAAAATGGGAAGTGAAATAATCAGAAGAAGCGTAAAATTAGCATCGATGCTGGATACCCGCATAAACGCGGAGAAATTTTTATCCAAAATATCCGAAGTTTCGATCGATGCTAATTATTTGCTTTTCACACGTTTTTCGTGCAAATATTCCGATACAATATTGGGAGATCAGTTAGGATACTTTGATGCTGACGCGCGGTTACTCCGGATTGCCGGAGAAATAATCGAAACGCGACGTGCATTTGGACACGAGGAGGAGAATGTGGGTGGACACATCCAAAATCTCCTCTCGCATTTCTATAATAGTAAGCACCACTCTATTATTTCTACATAAATAACTCGAATAATAAACTCGGTTTAGCTAATTTTTAATAATAAATTGTAGAAGAAAATGTTCGTCAAAGAATCATTGTGTTAGTGAATCCTCTCACACAGATTCGGAGGCGACGCGCGAAGGAAGAGCCAGAAGCAGGACTAGCGCGTAAGTAATAAACTAGATAGAAGTAATATTAAAAATGTAATTTTTTGCAATTTTCTAAGATTAAAATATTTATTTGCTTTTAGAAAGAGCACGTATTGTATTAACGCAGGAATTGGAGGAGAAGGCGACTCCAGAAATTATTCAGTTTTCGTCTGGTTTACATTTGCAAATAATCTCTAAAACAAATAGTAAAAGATAAAAAATCTAAACAACTTTGTTTTTCAGATGCGGAAATAAGTACTCCCGATCCGCATGTGTTCTCGCCTAGTAAGTTCATAAAAAGAAAAAATATTAATTAAAGAACATAATATCTATATTAATTAAGGACATAATATTGGGAATAAAAATTTATACTTTTATCTACTTTATATACTTTTTTCCTAGAATATGATTATATGTATTCTCCCGTAATTCCGGAAGAGGGAAGCGATGAAAAAAGAAGAAGAGCAGGAAGACGAAAAAGAGGGAGAGGAAAAGGAGGAACATGTGGAAGAACGAGAAACCGAAATAGAAAAGGAAATTAGAGAAATATCTCCTGGTATATAATCTTTTTTTCTTAATTTCTTGATTTATGTTCGTATTTTAAATTATCAAATTTTTTAGGAAATTTTCTCAGCCCTATTCTTCATGTGAGAGGGAGACGGCGGCGTCAAAAGGCGAGTTACCTCAGCGAAAAATATCATGTATGCATGTTTATTAAATTAAAATATGAACATAATACGAATATTCGAAACAATATCGAAGTATTTTTCTATAAAGTAAAATTCCAAGTTTTGTACCTTTATGCAGACGCGAACATCGAAGAGCCGCAGCGTGGAGGAGGCCGAATACTTGGACTCCTCAGGGGAATTCAGAAGAGGAAGAGGAGCAAGAAACAACTGAAGAAGAAAAGGAGGAGGAGGTGGGAGAGGAACAAGTGGAAGAGGAAACAGAGGAGGAGGGAGAGAAAAGGGAACAAGCGCGAGGTACCTCTGAGAACGAAGTCAGAAATTTTAACCATTTATTATTAATCAGGGAAAATTCGCGCTCGTTTAGAAATTTCGAGATATTAGGAAGGAATTAGCCGATATTCCGCTTGCGTCCGCTACCCAAAGGAGTCAAACTTTATAATTGGCTTGAAAACGCACTCACTGAAATTCACGTCTATACCTCCGAACTGCGGGATTACGTGAGATTTTTATTCGATTCGAAGGATTTTAACGCATGGTCCGGCAGGATTATCGTTTCAATCGGCACGCAACATAACTCATGAGGACATTTGGCGTGAGTTTAGTAGCGCAAAGCGCCGATGATTCCGATATCGCGTAAAATTTTAATGTACGCGTTTTCAATGTCACGGCACTCAAAGGTCGCGGGCGCGTTTCGAATAAACTTACATGGGAATTGCAAAACGTTCGATCTTAACAATCTCCAATTCAGATTTTGTATTTCCTCGCTCTCTCGTAGCCGCCCAAATTTGTCATAAACGCAGAACGTTGCGAGCGAGGAACTTCACAAGCGATTGAATACAATAAGAATTTATGTCAGAATTTCTTGTTACATCACGATCTCGCGCTGGATTTAACGAAGACGGGTGGCGTCACCATTCCATCGAAGAGTTGCGGGATTCATAATAGCGGGAAATAGAATGTTTCCAACGCTTTCTCGTCGCATCCGATATTGCGATTTTTGTTTGTAATTTTACTACTTTCGGACGCGAAAAAGACCTTTATTCGACGGAACCGCAGTACTCGCTTTTCTAGAACGCGAGCTCTTATATTGATTAAATATTATATGTTACGAACAGCATCATTATAGTCCTATTTTAAATTTAAAAGCAGCCGCGCGAAATAGAAGAGGTTATTGTGTATCATGCAATATCGGATATCACGACGAAAGAGATCACCGCTGCTCAAATAAATGTTCTCGATGTAACAAGGTGCCGCCGAGTGATCAGCGCGAAATCGTAGGACTTGTTAGGTGTGAGACGTGCGAATGTCCGTTCTTTGGAAAAGTATGCTTCGAGCATCATCTCGCGACAAACGTACGTTGGAAAAACTCCGAGTGTCTGTAATGCCATTCGATTTTGCGAATGTTGCGGACAGGTTATAAAAGCGACAAAAAGACACAAATGTGGTGTTTCTTTTTGTAAAATTTGCACAAAAACCGCTAAATCCTCTTTGCTACATGCAATCTTTCTCTCGTGAAGACAGATCCTGCGCTGTTGAGTCCGACGAAGATTCTTCTGTAATTACGAGAGAAAGCGAACAGAATAACGCGAGTGAGTGGGAACGCAAAAAGGGACGAACGGCATTCGTGTTTTACGATTTTGAGACGCATCAAGATCAATCGCTTGAGGAAACTGATATAAAAACACGTCCCGACTCTCTGCGTCATGCTACAGCACGCTTTGCGATTCGTGCGCGGGGATAGATAATTTGTCAGTGCGCTGCGACTGGTGTGGAAGACGCGAATTTGTTTTTCGGCAGAATCCTGTGAAACAATTTGTCGAATTTGCAACACGCCCTACGAAACATTTTACTCGGATCATTTGTATAGCGCATAACGCGAAATCATCGCACAGTTTATCTTCCGGTACATTGTTGAAAATTAATTTAACCGGATTAAACCTTGTATAATTTTGAATGGTAAAAAAATTATGGTCTTATCAGCAAATCGTATGAAATTTATTGATAGTATTAATTATTAGGTGTACAAAAAAGTTCTGAGCTTTTTTTTTGTAAAATTCAATCTTTAAAATTCTGTAAAATTCAAAAACAAACAAAAAAATATTAATCAGCGAAATATTTCCCGTTTGTATCAACGACCTTTTGCCATCTTTCGGGTAGCTTGAGAATTCCTTGACGATAGAAGCTCACCGGCTTCGAAGTGATAAAGTCATCAATGTATTTTCGTATCTCTTCAAATCTCACGAAATGTGTATCAGCTAAATGATGCTGCAGCGACCGGAATAGGTAGTAATCGGAAGGCGCCATGTCTAGGCTATACGCCACGTGCGAGAGAAGTTCCCAGCCTAACGTAAAGATATGATCCTGAGTCGCTTTCGCAACATATGATCGAGCATTGTCATGAAGCAAGATCACTTTACGACGTCCTTGGCCAGTTTTGGCCTGTTTTCTTCTAATGCATCGCTCAAATTAGTCAATTGTTGTTGATAGCGGTCTGCCGTGATTGTTTCACCCGGTTATAACAACTCGTAATACGTAACACACCTTTCCAATCCCACCAGATACAGAGCAAAACCTTCTTGGCGTGGATATTGGGCTTTGGCGTCGATGTCGAAGGTTGACCAGGGTCAACCCATGATTTTCTACGTTTAGGGTTATCATAAAGAATCCACTTTTCATCGCCTGTAATGATTTTGTGCAGAAAATCTTTTTTCCGGAACTTTGAAAGCAAAGTGAGTGCAGTGTCACGCCGACGATTTTTGTTGTCTTCGGACAATTCATGTGGAACCCATCTGCCTTCCTTCTGAACCTTTCCCATCGTATGTAAATGTACGGAAATGGTTTGCTGCGTAACGCCAAGCTGTTCTGCAAGCTCCTTTTCAGTTTGCGCAGAATTTATATCCAACAGTGCTTGCAATTCGTCCGTTTCAATTTTTTGAGAGTCCAGCACGCGGTTCATCTTCAAGACTGAAATCTCCTTGGCGAAATTTTTGATACCATCTTTTACATGTAGTATGACTTACAGCGTTCTCTCCATATGCAGCACAAATCATTGCAGTGACTTTAGCAGCATTTTTCTTCAGATAAAACGCGAAGTGGATGGAAAATCGAATATGCTCTTTTGTTATTGCCATCGTGAACACTACTGATTTTGAAGTTATGTGCATCAAATGCCAAACCGTATGGCATTTTAGAAGGTCAACGCTTTAAAACCGCAAAAGGGTGGGAAGATATATAAAATTTAAATTGTTATTTTGGTTGTATGAAATCTAAAGCTCAGAATTTTTTTGTACACCTAATATATGCCGATGCGTTTATCAGAATTATCGAAGGCCTTCAGATTACCGGATAGTTGTGACAAAGATGTTTTTCTTCACTTATTTAATACTGCCGATAATCAAACATATGTCAGTCCACTATCTGTCAGGATGTTTGTTATTACGCGCCCGAAACAATGCAAACAGAGGAACGCGTTTTCTTGTGTGGCACGCAAAAATGACAAAAAAAATGCCAAAAAATGACAAAAATATTTGATTTTCAACGCGATATACTCGAATATTGTCGCATCGACGTTGATATTCTTCGACGAGCATGCATGGCTTTCAGAAAAATATTCTTAGAGCGGGGAAACGTGTGTCCATTCGAGGAATGTACAACTATCGCTTCAACGTGCATGAGAGTTTTTCGGAAAAACTTTTTGCGCGAAGGAGAAATAAGAATCATTCCATCAGATGGATACAGATTTAAAGATAACCAGTCGCGCAAAGCTATGCAATGGTTAATTTTGAAGAAACGCGAGATCGGTCATCGAATAATTCACGCGGGACATGGACGCGAGTATCGATTAGCGGAAAGCATCCTTGTCGATGGGTATTACGAATGCGAGAATGGAGGTGAGACGCAACGTCATGTCTCACTATTTCACGAATGTTTTTTTTCACGGATACCCGTCTTGTTATCCAATAAATCGCGATAAAACGCTCGAGAATTTTAAAGATACGTTTGACGCGCGTTATGAACGGATGGTTGCAACGTCTTGGTGGTTACGTCAGCAGGGATATATCCTGATAGAAAAATGGGAGTGCGTTTTGACGAAGAAATGCGCAAGAATCGAGAGACACGAGAATTTATTGAAAATCACTCTATGGTATAAATCTCACCTCTCGATCCTCATGATGCATTTTTTGGCGGACCGGCAATATCGTGACTCGATACGAAATTTCAGATACCGAGAAGATACGCTACGTAGACGTATGTTCCCCGTTCCCTGTACGTACTCAAGACTGGAGTTTTTCCAATCGGTCATCCAGATTTTTATGTAGACGAAGAATGCAATAGTTAATTGGAATTGCGCCAAATTTTAATTTCAGTCCAGTCTCGTACGTTGCCGAGTACTCCCCCCACGTAATCTTTTCCGGTACTATCGTATCGCGTACGCGTAAATTATTATTCGCTCTTTGCCGCACATGCTGTGAAATATTTTTTCACGACGTGCATTCACGACGATCCTGCGGAATACGAGTTCAAGGGCACATGGGTGTCCTGTGAATTACGCAAAGCAATCGAAAAAGGATATCTCGTGACGCGAGTAGACGAGATTTGGCAATACAAATCTACACGATATAATCCCGAAATGCGACAGGGAGGATTGTTTGCCGGATATATCAATACTTTTTTACAACTAAAATAAGCGAGTGGGTGGCCGAGCAAGTGCGAGGACGACAATGTTGCTAAAAAACGTTACCTGGGGGGAGTATGAAGCAATCAAAGGTATCATTCTTGATAAAAATAGCATCGTACGTAATTCTGGCTTACGCTCCGTTGTCAAACTTTGTCTCAATTCGTTTTGGGGAAAATTCGGCCAAAGTAACTTGCCGAATACGGAAATAATAAGAACCTCTCAACGTTTCGCCGAATTGTTGTCAAGCTCGGAACACGAGATAATCGTCATATTGCCCGTCAATGAGGAGGTAATATATATGTTTCATGATGGTTAAAGAGCGAAGCGGTACCTTCACCAATAACTAACGTGGTGATAGCGGCGTACACGACGGCATTTAAAGTTAAAGAGTATTTGGAAAAATTAGACCGTCGCGTATTATATTATGATACAGATTCATGTATACGATGATCGTTCGATAAGTCAGGTAAAAAAGCAATAAAATTACCTTTTTCAGAAAATTCTTTTTCACTTTTTGATGTAGTCTCCTTGGAG